TCCGTGCGACCGCGTTTTAGTATGTTCGTAAATGACACTGGCCTTACTTCGCACGTATACGTGGGTGCGCCCTCTCTGTTCTCCGGTTACTCTTTCTTCCTCTTTCTCTCTTTCTTTCCCTCCCTCTTTCTTTCGTTCCTTCTCTCTCTCTCTCTCTCTCTGTCACTTCGTTATCCCTCTGTCTCTTCCACCCTTTCGTTCTCTCTACTACCCCTTTCTCCGTTTTTGCCGGGCGTTTCGATCAGCGCTGCTTGCGATCACGACGAATGCGCGACAATCAATGGGGCATAAATGCGTCGAGACAGGGAGATTCTCGTCCAAGTTTAACGTACACCTATCGGAAGCGCGAACGCACACGGGTGTCGAGTATGGAAGAGAAAACACACACGGCTAGAGCAGCATGCTACGCTGACGGCGGTTATATTGGCCGGGATATCTAACGGGAAAGCGCGCTGGGTACACTGATATTATTTTTATAACAACGCAGTGCGCGGCCGTCCTAGGCCGCGCCCAATATACCCCCACCCTTGGTCAGGTTTCCTCCCCTCCACCAACTGTTCCTCCCTCTCCTACTCTAGGGGAAGCCTTACTGTTCGTCCCCACCAAAGATATAACGTCGTACCGGCGTGTGAGACTCGAGAGAAGGGTGAATAGGAAAAGGTTCTCGACTATCCTGCGTGGGTATATCAAAGCCGGAACATTTTCTTCCCGTGAATGCCATGTTGCTGTGATTGTTGCTCGATTGCCACATTAAGACACACACCACACACTCTTTACCTTTGATAAAGATACTCACTTCTGATAGACTCAACTATTCGACGAATATAGTATACTCTATTGTACTGTAACACAACCGGGGAACCACGTTGCCCGCGTACAGAGTCGCCATCTGATGGACGCCGGCAAGCACTAAAAGTTGTTTCTCCATTTTACGCTCCATTCCCTAGCTTTATTTATGACACTTCTGTGAAGAACGCGAACAATGTAAAACCCGCGGGAACGAAACGAGAATCGAGTTAAGATAAATCATGGATTTTCTCAATTTCCTTTAAGATTCGTCTAAATACATGTGTACCGTATTATATTTTGCCAATAAAGTTTCCCTTCTATTGCTCGTTATGGTAAACAGTAATTTTCAAGAAAAGTGAAATGAAACAATAATTCGATAATATGTGAAATGATATAGGAACGTTTCAGAACAAATGGAATGGCTGATAAAAATCGTGGAAAATTGGAATGTTTAGTATTCCCTTTGTACCGCCGACTTGGCAAATAATTGAGAAATGTAACGCTTTACCCTAAGGCTCGACGACATGAAAAGCACTTCTCTGATCACCTTGTAGCCTGCAAAGGGGGAGATTACAAGTGCCCAACCACCGTGACGTTCTAAAAAAACACCGTTGCATATACGTTATTTCACGTGCATTTGGCTCGCGATTCATTAACGCTCGGAATCGCAGCGCAGGAATGACCCGTCGAGTGTTCAAATCTGCGCGCAGAGTTTCACCGAACATTCGAACCATAAAAAGAGCAAAATCACCGAACAACAAAATACGGATTCCTGGTTCTCCGTGGAGCCACAGGATTGATTCCGTTACGGAGGTCTCTTTGTTCGGCCAGGTAGAAAGGAAGGATTCGCCTTTCTTTTGTGCACGCCTGCAGGTATATGGGTGCAGGTCGACCACGGGTATTCTTGGCTTTTCTGCGCTCACGTTTCATCGTCATTATCTTTGGCAATGACGAAGGTGTTATCCTTGAACTAGATTTATCATTCACAGAACCGTGGCCGGATAGCACTTGAATTTCTGATGCGTCCAAACGCCTGCCATAATTGTGTTTCGTTATGTCCTTTCAGGACCGAAAGCAATCCCGATACGCCCCCTTTATGAAATTCTTCTCCCGTGCATTGTACATGTCGTTTCGTTGGAAACCAATTAGAATTCGTATTGTCAACAATGTTCAAAGCGTTTACAATTAAATTTACAGAAAAGAAATAATACCTCAATTTTCCAACATTTAGAGTTTTCTATTTCCTTCCGGAATAATCGAGGGAAATTGAAATATCTAAGAAAAAGAAAACAAACAAAAATGTTTGTAAAGTAATGAAAGAAAATGTAATAAAATACTACGATTTAGTTGAATTTTGCATTGATTACAGATACATGATGATATTTTGGGACGGGTTCTACTGGAATTTCAATCTGAATGACACACCTGTGCAACTTGTGCCATAATCTTCCGGAAGAAAACAAATGATGATTACAAATCACCGAATTACGCAAAGGGGGTCGGAGGATAAAAAAAGAACGGAACCCCGCGAGGGGAGTGGTCACATAAACGAAGAGACGTTGATCCATTATAAACAAGTGGACAGCCAGTTCTAATACTAGGTCGAACTTGAATGCTGAATGTGTTATTCGGCCGCGTGGTTACGCTATGAATTTTCTTTTACAAAGGGTAACTTAACAAGCGATAGAAACACCGCTCCTCTCCACGCAACAAACAAACAGCCATTTTTTACGATCATTTCAGACAAGTTCCTTGACATTTATTCGCGAGCGAATCAAGCAATTGCCAAGAAACACACGTTTCGTTTCGTTAACCCTTTAACGCTCATGCGAATCCTCCAATAGAAGCAATTTTCTTTAACTACTTCCTTCGCAAATTACGTTATCCTTTCTATTACGGCAAAAGCCTAGGTTGAAGCGTTATAAATAACGAGAAACTTATTTCTACACGCCTAGGAGATACGTAAAAAGAAAATAAACTTGATGACTGTTGGCACATGAAGCTGAGAAAAATGTGAGTGTTTTAAAGGGTTAACAAAATTAATTTACCCTTATTAACAGGAATATTTCAATCAACGATTATATTTCGCTTAATAATTACGTAATTGTATGAAAATAAACGATATGTATGAAAATGTAATTTAGGAAAAATAAATATTGCCACGATAAATAATGCCTCAGCCTGTGCTCCTCTCTTTTTTACTTTCACGATCGTATCAACACCGGAAAAGGTGGGCGTCGTTTGAAACCAGCTCGTGCACTTTTTCTCTCAGCTTAGCCCCCATCAACTAATTCAGTAACTGATCAATCGATTATCCCCTTCATCGAGCATAAATCTACATCAGCTTCCTAGAACCGTCTCCTACGGTCCGCGACTTATTTTCCCTTTACCAAATTGTCATGCCTGTGCAGCCGATTTGTCACTTGCAGACTCACCATTACATAAAACACGCTGCTTCGTACGAAACGATGAAAGAAGAAAGAACGAATTCGCAGGAAACGAGGTGCCTCTGTCTTTTCTGAAACACGTTTCCAAGTATTCGGATCTCGCGTAGATTTCACCTAAACTGCCCGTAGAAATCTCCTAAATACCACATTCGACACGTGAGTATCATCGTATCTCGTGTGATTTATCTCCGAAAGCTAAAGTGTAGACTTCACCGCGAACCCGATGGCGGCTCTTTGTTCTCTCCCGGTGTTAATGACAGTTGCGGTAGGTTATGCCAGTTCGAAAAGATAATTAACAGTTTGCACGCCTTGTAAATATCGGTATCAATGAAGCGTGCGCCGTGGCGTGGGATCGGCAAACGGTTTCCGGGCGCACAAAAATTAATGGACACCGCGGTTGACCTTCGTAGAAAACTACCTCGTTTCTACGGAACCGTTCCGAGGTCTTTCGAGAATTTTCTCCGAAGAAAGCGACATTTTTCAACGTTGGAAACGCGTCAACCTTCGACCCATTCGCGGACAATCTCAGGCTGTTACACGTTTTTACAGTTGCAGCGCGAGATCACGTAAAACGGGGCTAACGAAACGGAGTCTGTATATCCAAGTATAATTACTCGGTCGGTGTTATCAACGCAATTTCCAATGGCAATGTCATCCACGTGATTCCATAAAATCGTACATAGAGTGGGTAGTTTAATAACTGGGACGGCCGTGGAAACGGGCGATCCGAGACGAAGGGAACGAACGAGAGCCGCTTTTACCCCTCCAGGGTGGATCAGCCGATGGAAGGAAAGCAAGGAGGAGCGACGTAATTCGGGCCAGGAGGAAAGGGTCCTCCAAGGGGAGCATAGAAGACGACGGGTGTACAGGGGAAAGGGGAGGGTTTAGGTGGGGACAGAGAGGGTAACGGGGGAAAAAAAGCGTAAGGGTGGCGGATCCCTGGAATCAATAGTGGCCACGCACCCTTGAAGAATTTTCGCACCAGGAACCCGGCTGTCTCAGGACAAGCTGGGAAAGCTTTCGCTCTGCTCTGCTATCGAATGCTGGGTTTACCGTAGAGAAAATCGAATCAGAAAGATGTTATTTTTAAAGATACTCGAGGATCGAATGATTTATCCTTTGGTTTTTCCATCGGAGTGTCTCTCTGACCGGCGGAAAGTATCGTTGAAATTCGAAATCTAACCTACGAATATGTCACACAATTCTCGCTAATACGATCGTAAACCAGTCGATTTTGTAAAGAGAGATCGAAGATACCCGTGAGTATATTTAATGATTTAATTAGGTTAGTAAACGTCCTAACGTTGGGAATTTGTTAAACTTCATCGGTGAAGTTCGCTGTTCACACATGAACGAGTACACGTGTAATCCGGTAACGGTTAGCTGTCTAAGGCTTCTAACCGTCGAGCTTGCAGGTTTTTCTTTGGGAAAAGAAGACCCAAATCGATATACACTTAACTGTTTCGTTGGGAAATTTCTTACTTATTTTTCAATTTCGCGCTCTTTTTATATCATAATTATACATTCAAGATTATATCGAATACGATTTATTCGAGATATTTCATTGTGGGTCAATTCAAGTGCCACTTTCCTTGGAACAGTAATTAAACTGGTTGTAAATGAAATTAACAGAAAAAATTATTTATCTTGTTTATACGAAAATTTTTCTAAGCGCGAAACTGCGTTCGCTGCGTTCAGTGTCAAGAAATGTGCGTATCTTACAGGTCAGTGAGCAAAGTAGAAAGGCTGGTAAAAATGACTCACCTCCAACCACTGCCAACTTGGCCAACTGAAGATTCTGGTAGGGCGTCGCCGCTACCCCTAAAACAAGGAAACGGGAAGCTGTAGGATACGTAAGGAAACAGGATTTCAGAGAATATCAGGGTAAGGTATTTAGGATTGATATAATCGTACTTCTTCTATCCGTTCGTCTTTTGTGATCGCGAACGAAAAACCAAAGTGTGTTAAAAAAAAAAAAGAATTTTTTCTTTCAATCTACGTTAGCATATTATTTACAAGCTGGCAAGGTACCTAGCTGCAAAGATTTAACGATCATTATCCGACTTTTTACGTGCAAAATGAGTTTGCTCCTTTTTTTTTTTTCTCTCGATGGGCGTGGGACTACATTCACTCCTTAATTATACCATGATTTCGCTTTTCCTCTTAAGCGGAATTTTTGCTCCAGCAGAGTATCAAAAGTTCAAGCTAACTTGATTTATCCTTCGATCGTGTATACACATGTACAGTTTGCAAAGGAAAAGGGGGAAAGTATGACGTACGAACGACACTTTGGCGACACTCGCGGGGAGAAAAAGTTTCGTACCGCGGATAATTGGAGGTCTCCGCGACATGCATATTAATCGCGGTCTATCTGGCAAAGGTGGAAAAAAAGAATTAATAATAACCGCGTCGTCGTCGAGATACGGATCTCTCTGGCCGGTCGGTTGGCCAGGTGCAGCGTCTTCCGTGATCCGTGCATATTCTTGGGGGTTTCTTTTTCACGGCGTCCTTTTGCGTCGGTCACGCCAATTAAGAGGTATCGCCGTTAAAATCACCTTTATGCTACCTTCGTACCGGCTACTGTGCGAAGTTTCAATTTGTCAAGAGAGGAGAACCTCCTGGATACAGCTTTCATTCTCGGCAAGTTTCACTTTCACCGTAATCGTAATCCCGTCGAAAATACGTAGACATCGTCCTTGCTCGTCTAGAACGCGTTCCAAGTTCCCCACGTTTCACACACTTCACCGAGTAAATTTATTCCTCGTTGTTACTACGTTCATCGTGGAAAATCTTCCGTGAAAATCGTCGCGCGTTCGATCGAAACGAACGAAACCGAAGTCAATGAAGAAAATCGATCTCCATTCTGGGACGCGCCCCTCCTAAAGGGAATCGTTCCGGTGGAACAATTCGAAATTAAGGCATCGAGCGTGACTTTGGCGTGGCCAGCAGCTGCATTCAGCAACAAAAATCGCGTCTTCCGCAACGCCGTCCAAGATTTTACGATCGGGGCCGTTCTGGCTTGTATCGCCTTAAAGCGGAACCATTGACGTTACAACGGCGAGAAAGTGCATCGACGCGGAGGGAAGTGAAAACAGAGGAGAGAACAGACGAGGCACACACACCCATCGGGGGGGAAAGGGTATATAACAATTATTGCACGTCAGCGTACCTCAATTTTCAGATAATTAAGCGAGGGCCCTTTACACCTGCGGATTGTGCCAAGTCTGTACACGCGCATACCCGTGTAATTTTCTTTTTTACCGTGACCATCTCTGCTCATCTGTGGATCTATGGTTGATAAGGAATCGCACGTTGAAAACGGCCGTGGAGAACAAAGCAACCCTAACCACCTCCGCTTTTTGCTTTTCGAGAGAGAGAGAAGAAAAAAAGAAGAGGAAAAAACAGCTATCGTCACGACCGAGCGTGGTGTGCATCTTGACTTAATGTTCTTACGTGCCCTTTTCTTCGGGAATGATTAATAGGTATTAACGAGGGGAACGACCTGCACCAACGTCCATGATAAAACCGTGGAGGATTTAATATTCCGAAAAACATAATTTACTTGTAGCCAAGCTGTTTTAATCGCAGCATTACGCCTTTCTTTTTTTGTTTTTTTTTTTTTTTTGCATCCACCACCCGTTTGGGAATACGAATTACGTTCAAAAACGGCATCCACCACCCGTTTGGGAATATGAATTACGTTCAAAAACGGCTGTTTTATTACACGTGTACATTGTTGCTGGTTTTAAGTTTGTACTATGTAGCAATTGTATGATTTCATTTGTCGACGATAGGAAAAAGAAGTTTTCTCAAATATTCGTTATAAATGATAAGATAATTGGAGGTGATTATTAGTCGATTACTCCAAGTGACTATTCGAAGAGGATAAATCGACAGTTTTCAATTGGATCATTAATCAGCTCTTAAGGGGTCTGCGTTAATAATCACATTTTCGTTCCTAGCGCATTACCTAAGAACGCAAATTACTTTTCGCAACTGACAGCCCGAAGCGTCTGATCGGTAGTTTCGATTGAAACTCCTTCGTTTACGTTTAAAGGCTCCTTCACGCCAGCCATGTTCACTTACATTGTACTTCGAATTGAAACAATTATATCAATCAAATTACACCTTATAATTAATTATTATATTTCACAAAAATTTAATTATACCATACTTCGCTTTAAAAGAGTGAAATAATGTCAGGAAAACTAAAGAATATTGACAAATCAAATAATTCAGTATAAAAAAAGTGCCGGAAAGATTTGTTACGCGTTCATTCAAAACACGATGGCCGAACGAAGAAGAGATCCTCCTCTTTGGGAAATAAAATGAATTCACACCTGATATATCCCAGTGACGCGTTAAAACGACCGAATAGCTAGTTTCAAGGGTCAACCGGATATCTGTTGGTCAATGGAATTTCAGAAAGATAATCCCACGGAAGGCACGTTAGTTTCTTGTGTGAACGCAGCTGCATGAAGACGCGTATCGAGCTCCTCATCATCGGGATATCGTCCCTCGAGGCTCGTAGGAAGATACTTTGAGCAAACATCGGAAGGAGAGATCCTACCGGGCGAGTCCCGTTGTATCGTTTTGTTTTTGCTCTTTCGACGTACGAAGCCACCGGTAGTTGCTTGTTGCAGAGAAAAAGGATCAAGGGAAATGCAGAAGCGCGAAAGGAAGGCAACGTGGAAGAACAATTCAGTTTCATGTTTACCCAGGTCGTCCTTATTCACTAAAAATCGTTACACAACGGATTACCCTGATAATCCTAACCTAAACTCTCTAAAGAAAAAAGAATTCGGAACTAGAATAGGCAGAGACAAAGAAATAAGAAATTCAAGTACGAGGAACTCATTCTTCTGCCACTGACGCGACCAAGTGTTTTCAAAGTCTTTGAAAAACTGGGAAAAGTAAAGATTGGATAATTTGAAAAAAAAAAAAAAGAAAGAAAGAAATGTAAGAAAGTTGGAGGAAGTTCGCAGATGCTTTCAGGTTACGAAGATGGAAGGTCGCAAAGCTTGTCAGGGCAAACGGCGCTTGCGTGGCGCGCCAGTTGCATTCAACATAGATGCAACAAGTGTAGGCCGGGTATTACCAGTCCTCCGCAGACTTATAACGAGCCTAATTCCACGGCGAGTTAGATGGGGAAAGAAGTTGTTTCTGTGAAACTTTTAACAAGCACCTTTCGTGGAAACCTGTGTTTTCAAATCAATTGCGAGCTATGGTAACAGCTGAATTAAAAGCGGCATTATCGTTCTCGTTAAACGTCGTGATTACATGAAACCTTTGACCCTGCGTATGAAGTTTGTCGTATTTATTCTACAGGTGAAAGATAACGAAAGAATTTACTGTGACGTAGTATTACGACAGTTTAACGAATGCTGAAAATGATGTGCATCGTTTATTGCATTATCTAAATTTTTTATTATTTTTCGAGAAATAACAACAAGATAAATGCTAAATATATTGCATTACTGTCTTGGAATTTTCTCACATTTTTGATGTTCAAGGTCATGCTCGAAAGCATTTTAATACTCCATACAGGATACAATGGAAAGAAACATAGGTACGCTTTCCTATAAAAGAAAAAAATCAATGACCTCGAGAAATTAAAAGAAAAAATTTTTTCTTGCACCATGCTCCGTATTTTAAATCTTACTTAAATATTTTCCAGTACCATTAAAAACAACGAAGATGTTTACTTTGATACCCTGTACAATATTACATAAATAAAAACAAGTTGCACAATGTTCGAAAGGTAACGAGCATAAATTCTGAAAATCAGTTGGAGCGAGGAAGGAAGAGCAACGGGTAAGATTGCAATCTGATCACGTACACGTAGGTACCAACATTTCCAATAACAGTCGTCTAATTTGGACGGCCGTGTCGAATCTCACTTTTAATGAGAAAGCCCTCATTCCGGTGTGAATAAGCCGGTGTCTCCCGGAGATCCGCGTAATTTGATAAACGTATTATTTCGGTATCAGTTGCTCCCCGCGTTAATCTGCAGAGAACTGTCCCCTGTAATAATCCTTTCGCGTTTGAAATGCATCGCACACTACGCACCGTCCCTAAAGCCCGATAAAAAAGTATCAACAACATCCAGAAATTCGAGTTGCGCCTGCGTGCCGAAGCAGCCGGCTGTGCATTGACGCAACAAGTGCATGCAGGATGCACCTCGACCCAGGGAGGGTGGGGTGAGGTGTTGGTCGATGGCGGCAGGGGAACGGGAGAAAGAGAGAGAGAGACAGAGAGAGAGAGGGGGGAGAGCGAGGGAGAAGAGAAACGGGGTTGGGTGGGGTGGTCCGAGAAAAGTGGGGAGTTGAAAGGGGTGGAGGACGAGCAGAGGCAGAATTAAATGCAAGGTGAGGGAGGGGGCACACCACCAGAGAAGGGCACGAGGTTGGCACGCGCCGAGTGCAACGATTCACTCCAAGAAAAGAGAGAGCGAGAGAGAGAGAGAGAGAGAACAGACGAGGAAACAGACAGGCGGAACGGCGGTGAAAGAGAGAGAGAGAGAAGAGTGCATTGCATCGCGAAGGAAAAGATGCATCGTATACCCGGCGACGCTGACTCTCCTCGTCGTCTTTTATTTGTTTCTATCGCATCGATGTCGTCGAACGGTTTGTTTGCGGTTTACGAAATGGAGGGGGACAAGTGATATAGACAAACAGCGGCACTCCGGTGCAGGAAATGCAAACAAAGTGCATTCAGCCAGCCCGGTGGTGGTGACCCGGCTGCAGGGGTCTAACTTACCCCCAATTGCACCCTTCCTATCGTACAACCTGACTGACCTGATACGCGCTGCGAGGTGCAGCGGCCTTGTTATGCTAATGGGAAAAGTGCAATCCCACGTGTGCAAGTGGAAAAACATGCGATTCACGTGCATTACGTGTGCGCGACGAGATTATGTGCACCTGATACCCTTGCACCGTGGATGTATCGTCGGAGTAGAGAGAACGTGAAATTGGTGGATAACGTCGGTGGATGATATTTTCGCGATACGCTCAACGGATCGATGTGAACGATATATCGTATGTTGCGAGTAACAAGGCGGAACATATTAAAATTCTGCGTAATGTTCTTGTAACAATTGAATCGCAGTTGCATCTCTCGCACCGACGGTTTACCGCAACACGAACACGCGTGTAACAACCGAACGACGTGTAATACACGTGTGCCTGCATGACGCGGATGCACCGCAAAACGGACTTCCTTTCGTCAGGTCTAAGACAGCGCCTGTGGTCTTGGCATTAACCATGTGCAGGATTTCACAGGAAGAGCGATCACGTAACGAAAGATACGCATAACGTAGAGAATTATGAATTCAAGTGCTATGCCAATGAAACCGCAGAACGAACTGAGAACGAATCAATCAAAATCTGAATAGAAATCAGGAACACAGGACCGATGGTGTAAACATAAAGAGAAGTTCCAACGTTCCCACCGTGAATTCCTATTAAAATTTCAAATATTTCATTCATCTCGCGAATATTGTAACTCTTCTATTAACTATGCGCGTATACACTTAACGAAAACACGTAGTTAAAAAGGAAGACAGCCCTCTCTTTAGTTATGAAAATAGAAGTGCCCAAGGTGGCCATGTTAATAGAGTCGCACGGCGATATAATTGTCATCATTCGTTACGAATTTTCCGTTCGGTTCTCACACTCGCGAAGCTAGAGTAGCGTCACACATTGGCGGGCTTAATACAAAGAGGTCGATAGAGCCAGTTAAAGGAAATAGAATCAGAAACGCGGTGGATCCCATGGAATCATTGTAAGGATTCTTGAGGGGTGAGACCCTCAGGCCTTAAACTAGTTTTCGGCTGGTACCAGTTCGTTTCTCTTAACCCACCTTCCTTTTTTCTTTCTCTTTCTCCATCTCTTCTCGCACTTACTACCATCTTCACGTTACTGTAGCGAACGTATGAGAGTGCTTTACATTTGAAACATATCGGCTTATATGGAAATGAATGTTTAGCCATGCATGGGTCCTAAACATCAAAAACCAACACTCGCTGCTGGAAGTTGATACGCGAGTTTTCGAACACTACAGCGCAGAGAAAAGACAACTCGGAAGTGATACTTGTGCCTCTGAATTGACGATCTGTCTATTGTCGGGCGACGATCTCCCCGTCTAATCTTTTTGCTGGCAATCATGAAAGAAATTTCATTTATGACAACGGTTTCATTCGTCACCCTAACTTAATGGCCACACGAAACACCGGCAGCTTTCTAAAATAAAAGTCTTCTACTCGGTTTTTTAAACGATCTTCGTAGAATCATTGGAACTCGATTTCTCGGATTATCGCCTCAAATAACTGAAAACAACGTTCCCCTAATGGAAGTTTCAGTCTGAAAACCGGGAAGAAGTCGCTAGAAAATCACGAAAAATCAGTGCAAAATCCACGACTTCTTTTCCCATAAATCCTGCCATACTGATCCCAATCCTGAATCACGCAAACGCCTCGTCACACCCAAGCACCATTGTACGTTAACTGTTTGATCAATCAATAGGAATTCTTTGTGTATCACACAGCGACAATCGAAGAATAAGTTTGTTCTGGAACGTTTCGAACAGAGTACTTAAGTTCCACACTTGTAACGTTCCGGCAAGAGATAAACGGTTTTTTAATCAACGTTGCAGGATATTTCAATTTCGTTTCCATTTTAACGATATTAATACAATGAGACGAGTGGATTAAAAATGCTTGCTTGTACCGCTCGTTATACTGTCCATTCTCTGCACGTTGCATTTAATTGCTCTTATCTACTGTCGAGTATCGTTACGACCAGCAACAAATCCTCGGTTTATACCTTTGCACGTTCGTATGGGCGATAAGGTTTCTTGTGGCACGAGGAATTGGTGGTATGAGTAAACGAGAAGAGAAACAGAGAAAGGAGCAAGGTTGGGGGATGGTGAAATAACAGATTGCAGTTGTGGCACGAGCGAGCAGCCTGGGCTCAGCTCGGGGCTCGTAAGGAGAAGGCAGGTGCCACATTTTTTTTCGAACGCCTGCTTCACCGTCGAGAAGGAGGCTGCCCCGGTGTGCAGAGGCTCCCAAACGTTTCTGTCATCGCGCTCGAAAAGTGGAAAGTTTTCGAGCAAGAGAGAGGGAGAGGGAGAAAAAAGAATATTCACGAAAATTGCAGGGCAATTAACATTTAACAACGAGCCACTTTCGTGACGACGAAATAAAAGCGATCCGTACACGGAACAAAATCACATCTGTATTACAAACAAAGTTTCCAAGTAAATAACGGGACACAGTCAATATAACAGATAAGAATAATTTCGATCGAAAACATTGTATATCTATCGACGACAATTTACGAACGCAGACTTTATACTGAAAAAAACGAATGTTAACACTTGTGGATCAAGTGCAGTTTACACCATTGTAGATATAATACGTACCAGCGATCCGTATATGTGAGTCACACACGTGGCAGCATGCGTAGAAACAGTGCAAATGTAAGTCGGTGGTTTAAAAAGTTTGCATGCATAAATACAGAACGATGCTACTCGAAATTGCTATCCTTGTGCTGTTAAATAGTTCGTAAAATCGACCGCGGTAAAAGAACGTCGAAATCTGCATGACAGTCGATAAAGAAGATTTTAGGAAAAATTTATCAACGAACGATGTTCGACAAATATCGAAAATTCTACGAATGGAGAATGAATTCCACTGCAGATAATCCTCGACGATTTTTACCTGAACACGTTCGGCACGAGCTTAAACTGCTGTAGTATATACACGCGCTCGCGCGCATTTATTCGCGTGCGGCCAATTATGCAGCTCGTTATGCCGGCATTACGCGTGATCTCTCTTCTGATCGAGAAATTGCCCGGGGTTAATAACCCTTGCCGAAGTTTGTGTAAGCGATTACATAAAATTTTTAGAAGACAAATGGTCTATTAGCACGGAAGAAGTTCATTCGGCGGACTTTCCGCACGTAGGTAGCCCACAACCTGACAAGTCGAATTAAATTTTAGCAATATTTGACATGTAACATAATGTATAAGTAAGTGTAATTCGAAAAGCAGTTCCTGCACACACTCGACGCAATTTACGATCGTTTAAGGCACGGCGGTTAACAATTTTCGCCGGACAGGCAACGTTTAATTATAACCGCGGTGGAAGATGCTTCGTGGCTAATTTATTTAACGAGTATGTATTTGCATTCAAAGTAACGCAATACCGTATCCGTATATAAAACAAAGTTTCTTATCGTTTAGCCGCGAATGACGTCGATCAAACGACGAACGTTTCAACCGAGTTTGTAATTACGCTTTCCGTTTGTAATTCATTTAACCGCGTAACGTAAAACCCATCGTGGATACCGATAGCAGTTTATAAAAATATTGAAGAAACTTACCGTTTTTTCGGTCCACTGGCTACAGACGGCTCCACGATAAGCACCGATCCGAGATATGTGGATCCTAAAACAAAAAAAAAAGACACGCACATTTTAAAGCACATTCATAAATAACGACGAATCATCCGTCAACTAACATCGAGTCATTCGAAAATTCTATAAATACATATTTTCCAACCTATTATAAACATATACAAACATTGAAATTCAGTTACGAACACGAACATAACCAAGCCAATTGTACTGCAAAAATTTTCTCATAGCATGCAGATAGTAGAAGAATTAGTTCATTGGGTCAGTGTGGACAACCTGTTTGAAACCGCGGTTCATTTGAACTATGATCCTGGTCAACACGACCTATGCAAGATTTTCCCATGGAAAAATACACCGGACACCGGTTTTAGACGCGAGGAGTGGAACTAGGCGGTTGCTTCCGGGTTTTGATTTGCACGTGTACAACGTCTAACGGCACAAAAATCGATGCACTGATCTAAAACTATCGCGTACCTTACTCATATTCTAAACAGGATCAAGAGGTTATGTGAACGTATCCGTGGTCATCGTCTCGTGCTGGCGAATTTTTCTACACGGTCCGAGGGTCTGAATATACATATACATATATGCATGTATACACAAGTATTTCCTTTCCTAGGCGCCAGGTGTCTTTTGCCAGTTAGACCCATCTAATTTTCTCTAACCAGTTCCTCTCTCTCTTTCTAAGTGTATTGCAAAAAATCTACGAAACCACTTTTGTCAGCCCACCGAAACGACCGCTTTCGTTCCTTCTATGTAATATTAAACAATAGTTACACGAATGATTAAGATTTTTTACTAATGCGTCGTTTACCTCGTTTGAATTGGGCGGCAGTTGTTTCCTATGCGCACTTCAATGCATAGGATGAGCGACTGCGCGCGCACATGTTTTAAAATCAGTCAGTTACAATTATTAACGCGAACGGTGGCAAGCCATGCCTTGATTAAAAAACAGATTGTGAACGTTTAGTTAATTCGTTCGAGGAAAAGGAATCAACGCAAACACCGTTCAGAAGGACGCAAGTTCCTCCTCCAGCGTTCTGTTTGTTTCGAGTGAAGCAGAAATTCCCATCGGTTATTTTGCCGAACAAGGTCACCGTAAGAATGTAAATATCAGTCAGTAAGTGACGCGACTCCTACACGTGATAGACGTAATACATATTTCTACGCGATCTCGCTTAAAAACGTATTGAAATACTTCGCGTAATTCTGTATTTCGACATTAATAACCTTTAAAATGGATCTTCGATCTATTCGTAAATCGTCGATTGAAATAGTGCGACATGTAATTACTGGTGTTCTACGTGACTACGAACGAAAGCAGTATGACGTGTTTCGAAATGTAACAGTAGAAAAGAATATTTACTATTGCTTGTAATCTGTGATACTTAGACAAGTGTAAGTTTACAAAACGTGTGAAATTAATATCAGCTTGTTCAAAAGTGAAGAAAAGTATCGAGATTTTGAAAACGTGACAGCCAATGAAACGAACAAGAATGGACTCGTCCTAGCCGTAAGTGTAAACGTCTTTTCAACTTGTAACTAACCTATAAACGACGATTTATACACGATATTCGGAAGTAACAATTTTCTGCAAACTTTGTTAATCTTCGAACTGCGTACATAATCGTATACATATGTACAGTTTAGTGTACGTATGCCTTTATTGAAGCATACGTATGCGCTTTTAAAGTACGATGCAGATATAATACGAAGTAGATGAGTCCTCGTGTACATTCTTCGATCGATACCGCGCTGTATAGGTTAGATGGAATAGTTGGGATTTATAAGTTATTTAGAAGTCACTGGACGATTCGTGTTCACATGGATTAGTTACAGTCAGTTTGCGAGAGAAGTGTTATACGTAAGCATGCAGCGTTCTCGATGCTCGTCGCAGATCGTCGACGAACATTGATAACGATCTCGGCGCTTCGCGTTTTCATGCGCGGAGTGGTATTTTTTTGAACGAGCCAAGCCTGCTTCAGAAAAACCGGGTAGATCTCTCTTGCGGGGTACAAAGGCGTGTGGCGAGTGGCGGAATTGTTCGCGAGGAGTCTATTAAATGCAGCAGAATGCTCGGTACAATGAGGGTATATAATATAACCTACCGGGCGGACTAGCTTGGGAATTCGAGTGAATTAAAAATGCGCGTATTAAACGTAAAACGACGGGAGGAAGATGGCGTGACGGTATCTCTCGTGAGCACTTGAAAAGTGAAAGACGGGCGAAAAGAAACAGCAAAAGAAAGGAAAGGAGGAAGTAGCGCTTAAATAGCTACTTAGTATGGTCCCGTGTCAAGTCTCCCCTCAAATGGTTCCTCTCACCCAGTAGCAATAATATTCGTAAGTGTTTCTATGCACGAGTGCTTGGACTGAGTACCAACAGGTTTCATGCGAAAGCCAATTCGCGACAAAGTGAGAAGAAGAAAGAGGGGAAGCAAAGCTTGACGAGGTTTTAATTTGATTCTTATGCTGCGTTAAATTCGACATGTGCTTTTACGCTCGATTTCACATGTTTGCCATTTAGGAGACTATTAGGATAGGTTACAAAGTCGCCTCGCCATATAACTTTAACGTACGCCTCTCTAACCGTAATAACTGTGAGCGTATCAAAATTTACGAGGGCTATATGCTCTCGAATATTCTCGAACCGAATAGTGTTCCTCTAACCTGTTTCGTATCAATAACGAACATAAGTTTTTATTTCCTCTATCTATTTATTAATTACATTACGAGAAAATCAAATAGGCTATTTTTAGGGGTATCGATTCGTAATAAATTTTTCTTCGCTAATTGTTCATTTATCGTTGAAAATTCTCGATTTCAAGGACGCAGGCGGTTTGCATTCGTAAAGCGTTCCTCTTCGAAATGTGGAATTACGAATTGAAAAAAACTGTATTACCCTCGAGTAAAACATGCGAATGCCTCGAGAAGCTTCGAGATACACCAGCCCTTATCGCCGACACGAAATTATAGTCGAAGAGCGCGTTATTAGGTAACCGTAAACGGTTGGTAATTTGCAAAGGAAAGCGCGGACATCCATTTCGAAAACGGGACACCCGTTATACGCCTAAAATATACCGGCATCTCGCATGGGGCGCGCTACTAAGAAATGCAGAAACAGCAGTTGCTATGCTAGGTGGTACTCCCTACAAACACACGCATACTTGCACACGATACACGCTCGAGCCTCTCTCCTTTCTAAGCACCGGTGAAATTCATGCATAAGAGAGACACACGCAACAAGCACTCGCATACATAGAGAAGGGTACGCGCGTCTTACCCAGTCACACACAGATTTCAGGGGTTCGTCGTGTATGTACCATGTGTGGTACGCGCGCGCGTACCCGTTTACGTGCAGCGTACGCACGCACGCACACACACACAACGAACGCACGCAGGTCCGTGCACGAGGGAGTAGAGTGAGCGAACTAGAAAAAAAGAGAAAGAGAACAACGGACGCACGCAGGTCCGTGCACGAGGGAGTAGAGTGAGCGAACTAGAAAAAAAGAGAAAGAGAACACAAGGGAGAGAGGAAGCGAAATAGCGGGAACACGAGGGGTGTAGCAGTGGTGGTATTAGAACGGCAGCGAGAAGGGAGCAGAAAAGAGGGAGTGGAAATGAGATAGGGAAGGCAGCGCGTACGAGGGACGACAAAGTGAAAGAAAGAACGACAGCGAGAGTGACAGAGACCGGGCTACGGTGAAAAAGGGACAGGAACAAGCGAGATAGAGGGAGGGAGAGAGAAACAAGCTGTTTGAGCTAAACGTAGCCAGGGTCTAGAAGCGAGTTTTCGGATCGAGTCGGTGTATGTGGGCAAGAGAGTAGGTTAGCAGGCTCTCCCGAGGGAGAGAGTAATAGTAGATTGTCCTGTTGAACGAGCAGGATGGCAAGTGCCTTTATAGTGGGTCAGTACTAGCCGGCACCCGGCTAGCAAGCCTTCAAGGTCTCCTTAGTGCTCCTACCTCCTCCCTCCCGTGCCCACCATCTTCCCTGCTGTTGCCTACAACGAAAACTGCCAGGTAGGTGAGGCTCAGCGAGCGAGAGCGAGCTTAGGAGAGCTATCCGGAGGTCGTCGCGCAACCCACCTAATATATATTCATTCTTTCTCTCTCTCCTTCCTTCTCCCTCCTTCTCCTGCCCTCGCGTACCTTCCCTTTTCATTCCACTTCTCTTCTTTGTCCCTCTTTCTTGATACGTTTTACCGGTTCCTAACTTAAATCTCGTCAATTTCTGCTTGACGGTGAGACGAGTGAACGGTTTCGAGCTTCGAAAAAAAAAAAAAAAAAAAAAAAAAAAAAAAAAAAAAAAAAAAAAAAAAAAAAAAAAAAAAAAAAAAAAAATGTAGAAAAAAGAAACGATCTTCGACGTATTTACCCTGCCGCGCGCGCGCGCGCATGTATGCGTGCATCTGGATAGTTGGGAATGTTCCGAAGAAAATAAAAATAGGGATAATCTGATGAATTAGTTTTGGAGGGAATAACGAGAAGAACGCGATCGATTATCAACGTTTATTTATAACGCGTGTATTATTAATAGGTGGCGTTCAACTTCGATACCCGATAGCTCGAACGACGTAGGTAACGTAAACCTTGTATATCTGAGGTGCTAGTACAGCGTTTTTCGTATCTCGGCACTTGATACGCCAGAACGGTTCTTCGGTGTGCACCGATGAACGGGTGCGCGAGCTTAGTACGACGAATATACCTTCCCTAACGATCACCTAACAGAGAAGACCCACCGTCGCCTAATTCAACCCACTCTACCATTCTTCGCGCGTTTACGAAATCTCGAGAAACGTAACTGTAATATTGGAAATATCGTTACAACGATAAGACGAGCCTTACATGATGACATAACAGCAAAGAGTTTCTTGCGCCGGTGAAAGAGGAAGGGAGAGGGAGTGATAAAGAGGGCGAGAGGGAGGGAGGGAGGGAGGGAGAGAGAGAGAGAGCACCGGCTCCACGGGGAAGTAATAAAATATTTGGGTAGCGCTGAGCGAGAATGGGAATGGGAATGAGAACAGGTTCCT